GCAGGGTGGAGCTCCAGATGCTCAGAACTTCAGCTCTTACAGTCCCTCCTCCCTGCACCAGGACCCAGTCCTCACCTTCACATTCACAGCAGCTCAGCAATGAAGACCTAATTGGCTTTCAAAAAAAAAAGATGTATTAGACTGTTGCCATGGGAACTGCCCCTCCCACCACATTTACCATTCAAAGGCTTCTTCGGGCATTCATGTACAACAAATTAGCTAAGAGAGATTTCCAGACTTGTGGGCCTGGTTTAGACCGCAGTTTGAAGGTGCCTAGAAGCATGGAGAATGCCTGTGGTTTCTGCTGGGGGATTACCAGGAAAGAAGACTCCAGCTTCTGAGGAAAGGTGGCTCTTCAGGCATGAGTGTCTCAGCTCTGCTTGTCCTTTCAGCTCCCTTCCTCGTCCGCCACTGATGGCTGTCACCCTCCCCTCCTCACCCGCCACTGATGGCTGTCACCCAAAGAACGCGCTGGTCCCTGGGTGCTTATGCTACCCAGCAGAAAGGAGAAGTTCTCATCTGGACGTTAGTCAACGCCCAAGACCACCGAGGACATGACATTAGAAAGTTGGAGCGGGGGTGGGGGGTGGGGCTAGAAAATGACCCAATTCCCTTCAGAGGCCAGAGTAGGGAAATCCAGAGGTCCTGCAGGAAACCACAGCCATCAAAGAACGCATCATCCAGTTTGGTGATGGTTGGTGCTCTTAGGGCTAGGCCATGGGCTCCAGGCTTCCCAGCCCTGATAATGGCCACTCTGAACGGAAGGCCACTGGCCTGCCACTTCCAACGGACCGCATTTCTTCAGGATTTCTGATGCCCCCAGGAGGATCCTAAAATTATTGTGCGACCTTACGATAGAGCAACATAGCCACAGATGTATGAAATACAACTGAGGATGAATCCTTCGTTTTGACTGGGTGGGGGCTCTTCGAAGTATACTTAATCTGGCTTTTAAAAATGTCTTCTGACATCTGAGGCAGAGACACCTGCACACCACAGCACACATGTGGAGGTCAGAAGACAACTTGTAGGAATCCCTTCTCCCCTTCCACCATGTGACTTGCAGAGACCGGCCTCTGCTCATCAGGCTTGGTAGCAAGCACCTGGGCCTCCCATCTAGCCGGTCCAGAATCACACTTAGTTTTAGTAACCTTAGTTTTAGCATCTGCTTGGACACACTCAAGTGTGCTGGGTAAAACTCAGACCCAGGGAGCTTTTGTACTAAACTTTACAAGGCCTCAGCCCATTCGAGTCCCGTGTAGAAGCCATACACCAAAAAGCAACATTTGCAGCATACGATATTGTTTTATTTTGCTCACTTGGTAAATTATCAAGTCATCTTGTATGCATGTGACTACTTTCAAGACTGTCTTGGGTACCAAAGTGCTGGGATGCTCATGGGTCTTATATAAAACAGTATGGAATCTCCATGGAATATCTGTACAACCTCCCATATACTTTAAACTATCTCTAGATTACTCCTGGAGGAATCGAATAAAATGTAAATGCTATGTAAAAATCATTTGATTTGCAGAGAGGTGGTGACAAAAGCTTTTAATCCCAGCACTTGGGAGGCAGAAGCAGCCAGCCTGGGTCTACACTGAGTTCCAGGACAGCCAGGGCTACACAGAGAAACCCTGTCTTGAAAAAAAAACTGTTTTGATTTTTAAAATGGTGGTAAGGAAGAAACAAGGAACTGTGTTCTGCAAACGTGTAATCTTTTTCAAACACTGTTAATCTGGATTGCTTGCATCCACAGATATGGGACCCACTAACCTTAAAAACACACAAATTGTGGGTTATTTTCATACAGCTTGTCGTCATAAAAAAAAAATTTGTATCTTGTAGAAATACTTTGATTGTAACATTTCATCAGCAAGGAATAAGTATCAGACATGCTAAGGTCTGTCACGTGGCACCAATGGCTTTCAAAATCAGGGCTCGCATAAGCGGATCGCTACCGCCCTCCAGTGGGAAAGCTGAAATAAGCACTTCCACACCGGAAAATGGATTGCGCTATTCCTAAAACGGCTGCCTTGTAAAGAGCATAGCGCCTGAGCTCAGGTAACCAACCATGTGGCAGAATGTGGATTAGAACAGATGGATTATTTTAAAGAAGAGCCTTGTTATATGTCGTTGGTACTTGTAAAATAATAATTGAGTATCATCAGCTGGGTGTAGTGGTGCATGCCTGTAATCCAGCACTCAGGAGGCAGAGGCAGGAGGATCTCTGTGAGTCGGAGGCCAGCCTGGTCTACAGAGTGAGTCCAGGACAGCCAAGGCTACACAGAGAGACTCTGTCTCGGAAAAAGTCCTATTTGAGTCTCCTGAGTCATTATCATGGGAGCTTAAGGACAGGAGGCACAGCCTTGCCCTACAACACTGGCGCTGTAGGCATGAGCCACCACCGCCCAGCCCGAATCACGCTTCAGTGGCAATCTTGCACCCTATAATACACCACGTACCTTACCTCTCACTGGAAGATTGTGTAGATGGAAATCACACCGGGTTTGTTTCCCTATGAATCTAACAGCCAGGATGGGTTTGTGCTAAATACACAATTAGGCTAGAGTCCTAAACTGATATTCTTTAAACAGACACACACACACACAGACACACACTAGCGTTAGTTCCTTTTCCTGCCATGATGGAACAACAGGACCAGGAAGGACTCACAGGGGAGGTCCCAGCCAAGTAAGAGCCCATCACAGCGGGAAGTATGGCCACCAGTGACAGGCCTGGGGCAAGCACAGGGAGCTGAGAGATCACGTCGGGTGCAGAGAGCAAACCAGAACTGGTGTGGGACTGTGAACTATGGAACTATGGAAGCCCACCCCAATGACATACAAGGCTGCCAGCCAGCTGTTCAAACACCTGACGCTGTGTGGGACATTTTCATTCATACCAACACACCGTTCTCTTTTCATTTTTATTTCATGTGTACTTTGCGTGTATGCCTATGAACCACATAGGTGGTGAGAAGATGTTATTGGATCCCCTGGGACTAAAGTTATAGATAGTTGTGAGCTGCCATGTGGGTGCTAGGAACTAAACCCAGGTCCTCTGGAAGAACAGCCAATGCTCTTAACCTCTGCGCCATCTCTCCAGCTCCCCATGACACCATTTTTAATACCCAAACAATATATTAATATTTATTATTAAATATTAAATATTAAACATAATAATTAAACAATATACTGTATCTTATTACCTATAGATTAATTCTATTACTACATGAGATTAATATATTTAAATATGTTGTTGTTAATTGTTAATATATTTGTGAAAGTGGCTGCTGTAAACCAAGGTTCTGCATAGTTTTGTGTTCTTATTTTAGTATGTATGTATTTATTATGAACTAGAAATGGAACCTGAGCATACTAAAGCATTTACCACTGAGCTAAATCACCAGCCCAATTTCATTTTGAGGTAGTAATTTTTAGTGTGTACTTACCACATGCCAAGCATATGCCAAACACTATACGACCATGTTAATATAGTATCCTTTATTTACCCTTAGATAGTTTCGTATGTGTAAACAACACACTTTGATCATATTCGCCCCAACTTCCATCACTCTAAGGAGCCCCACCTCCTCCGTCCCACTCCCTCTAGGAACCCCTATGTCCTTCCCAACTCCTCTAGGCACCCTGAATCCATCTTACCTTCATGGACTCTCCTTTTTTTGTGTTGATACTACTGAGTTCATTTGCTGCGACCTGTTGGAATGTTTACAGATCTTGTGCAGAGAAGCATATTTGCAGTGAGTTCATGGTGCGATGGCCACCATCACAGCCAAAAGACTCTGCCCCATTCCCCAGCTCTTACATCCTTTCTGCCCATTTTCAGAGACATTCCCTGAGCCTTAGGATGGGGGTTGATATAGATGGCTATTTAGGGCTGAGCACTTAACAGTCTCTTATTCTCAGCATTAACTGCTGATCACTACAAAAGAAAGCACTTCTGGCCATGGCTGACAACAGTACTAAGTTATGGATATGAACATAAATTTCTAGAAAGTTTAACAACACATAATTTAGCATAGCAACAATAACAGGTTCTTCCCTGGGGGCACGACCACCAAGCCAGGGGGGTTTCTGGACCAGGTGTACAATACCAGGCCTGAATCCCTTCTTGTGAACAGGCCTCGAATCTAACAGTTGGTCACTCCCGGAACTGTTGTGCTGCTACTACTCCAGTGGGCTCAGCGTGCCTGGCACGGTTGTCCGCTGGTCTTCTATGGCTTCTTTTTCTTCCCTAGCAGCCTGCAGAGCACCTTCTGCCATTATGAAAGCCGGTCATTAGGGAGAAAGTCTTCACCAGTTCCACCTTGATGTCTCTATGTCCAGCTACCAAAGTCTATAGTGTCTTCAACAGTAATGTCTTACTACTGAGCGTTGGTGGGCAACCAAGATCAACAGCGATAGCCTGTACGGTTTGGAGGGCCTCTGGGGCTTCCCTGACCATAAGTCACAGGAAGCTATGCCTGTTGTTGGTATTTTCATTTAACAACCCATGTCTTCTGGGGGGATCATTTTCCATCCATGCAGGGTACCTATTTTTATACGTGTATTTTCTATTTTAGACTTACTTCTACTTTACAAGTATTCTGCCTGCATGCAGTACCCATGTAGGCCAAAAGGGGGCCTTCGGAACTGCTCAGGAGCTCCCGTGTGTAACGCACATAACCTGCAGGTAAAATACAAATATACACGAAACAGAATTTCAATTTAAAAAAAAAAAAAAAACTATTCATAATAAAGCTCCTGATCGCCTCCCTCTGCAAGCTGGCGTCTGGGGTGGCCCCGGAGCTTAGCCACTCGGAGCCACTCAGGGCGCGCCCTTCGGCTCTGCCTCCATCGGCGGCACCGCCCGCACTCGGCTATTTCTCCCCTGGCACTTCGCCTCGCAACCGTCCAGGAAAGCCTACGCCCTACCTACCTTCTACCCAACCAAGGAAATAGGGCGGGACATCCGCCGGCACCGAGCCTCTCCCGGAAGTGACGTCGGAGTGTCAACATGCAAGATGGCGGCCCATCACCGGCAGAACACAGCCGGGCGGAGGAAAGTTCAGGTATGGCGGCCCGGCTCCGCGGCCTTGGCGACGCTGCCGTCGGGCCGGGTTCCCCCGCGGGCGGCCGGACGCCTCGGGCCGCGGCTGGCGGGGTTCGACGGCCGAAGGATGGCGGGGCGGGGCGCGAGGGGTGGGGCCGCGGCGCCAACGGCCTGAGGCAGTGGCGGGCGGGCTGGGCGCGCGGGCCTCGCGAGCGGTCGCGGGGAACCGCCGTCCCGGGGCACCGGGCCTGCGGCGGCGCCATGGGCCTGCTGTCCGCTCACCTGCCTCTGCTGTCGGCCGCCTTCTTCCGGAGCGGACGCTACCCGGCAGCGGAGGCCGCGCGGCGCCCGCGGGTGGGTGAGGCCGGGGAGCGAGGGGCCTTGCGGGGGCGTGGCGGGGCGGGGTCGCACGTGGGCGCTCTGCGCTGGAGGAAATTAGTTTCCGTTCCCTTGCCGTGGGCTGGACCCCCACACACACCCGGCTTCACCCGCCTCCCTGTGCATCTTCCGTTTTCAGCCCTAGCCTCCGTAACACCGGGATCGCCGGTGATGAATGAGTTCGCTAACCCCGCACAGTGGGTGCTTCGCTTTCCCCCTCAGTCACTTCGGTTCGGTGTGTGTTTGAGTTCTGCCTGCTGCCTTTTCCTTTTGGGCTGGGGATGAAACTCATTTGCCAGAGTGCCTCCTGTTCTGAGCAAGGCTCGGTCCCTCTGCACCGCATAAAACCAGGCCTAGTTGGTACCTGCCGGAACTCCTAGCACCGGTGTGTGTGTTTCTGTAGTGAAGGCAGGCAGGAGGAGAGGGGGGACATCAGAAATTTGTCATCCTCCAGTACCTACCAAGTTTGAGATCAGTCTGGGCCACATGAGACCCTGCCTCCCTCCTATGTTTATCTTAAGGGACTGGGATTTTTATTTTAAAGCCCCATTATGAGTGTTTGCCTTCGGGAATATTGTATGCAGTTCAGAACAGTTCATTCAGTCATTAGACATTAGGCGTGTGCTGAGTACATAGATCGGCTCCAAAGAGAGGAAGAGATTGAAAAGGTTTAGCAATCAATCACTAAGCACTCCACAGCCTGAACTCAGTGTTCAGAAGTGAGATCCAAAGGACAGTAAGGTCAGCATGAAGTTGTAAAGCTGTGAGATTTCCCAGGTCAGTGTCTTCTTCATATTGCTGCTCTCACCAGTCAGGTCACTGTTCCTAGTATACTCATTAAATGGCTGTTAAGTGGTTTAAATCGGGCTGGTAAAGGGCCTATAGCTTAAACATGGGAATTTCAATTTCTGTCCCTACTTAAGAAGCCTGTACAGGGTGGTACCTGTAATCCCAGCTCTAGGGAGGCAGAAACTGGAGGATCCCTGAAGTAATGGCCAGCTCGCCTTGCTGATGGGTAAGCTCCAGGTCCAGTGGAAAGATAAGTGGAGAGAGCAGTGAAGGAAGACACCCAAGTCAACCTCTGGTCTCATATGCATATGAGATACGTATACGCATACACATATGCATATGCATACGTGTGTCTGTATGTGTGTATACACGCACACAGATAATAAAAATTTAAAGAGTGAGATTACAAGAACGTAAAACTCCCTCAGCTTTCCCTGAATAGGTGTGGCTTTTATGTTGAAGGGCACTCGAGATGGAATTGCAGTAGCCCCAGCTTTTGGGCCAGGTGATGAGAATGCTGTTCCCAGCTAAGCTGTAACGTAGTTACGTTCCACACACTAAGCTGGTGGCCTGGAATAGAGTAAGGATTATCAGTTCTCTCAGTTTGGGGTAAATATTTAAAAGACAAGGCTATCAGATGGCTTGAAGGGTCAAGGTGTTGTGGCCAAGCCAGAAGACTTGAGTTTGACTCCTGGACCTACATGGTAGAGTGTGAGAACTGACTCCGACTTATCCTCTGACTTCCAGAGGCACTTCATGGTACCACCATCCCACATACACACGCTTTGAAACATTTAAAAGACAAAGCTGGAAATATACCTCGGTGTAGAGCACTTGCCTGTCTTGTGCAAGGCCCTTGACTTCAATCCTTAGCGATAGCGAAGAGTGGAGAAAATGGAAATGAACCATGCAGTTGAAAACCAAAGTGTTTAACTAGGCTGGATGTAGACCAGTGCATACAATGAGAAAGGAGGTAATTCCACTCTTGACCGGCCAGAGAACGAAGCTAGAGTTTGGTGTTCAGCAGTAAGCAAATTGTGATTAGACACTATTTCCTATCTAGCTGAAATTAGCCTGCTGAAGAGAAAGGTGAGAATTTGTCCAGTAGGTACAGAAGCGATGTTAGAAGCCAGGGAGACTGATTCCGTCTCATTGTGTCGTCTCACTGTGCAGAGGAGGGGTGCATGCGTGCTGATTGCAAGAACCCAGAAATCATACAAAACTATAAATTCCAGTTGTCCTTCGCTGTCTCAAGACATCAACCCTGTGGAGTGTCCTGTGTCACCCTGTAGTAGGGGCTGCTTCTCAGCCTGCTTACTCTTCACACTTTACGTTAGCTCAGGCTTTCGTGCGGAAGCTGAGGATCCTCTCCTGTGTGTTTCGGGTTGTTGAAGATCGACTTCTGCCCACAACTGTACCACCCCAGTTGTGACAACCAAAAACTCTGCAGACAGAAGTTTCCTTTAGGGCAGAATTGACACTGGTTGAAAGCTAAGCTTGTGCTTTTCCAGCTTGCTACCTGACATACAGAGCCATAGCATTTACTGCTTTGTATCTTGTTTTGCCAGAACTTAAAGGCAGCTCCTAGAGACCACAGTTCCTCACTTTGATGATGGTGCCCAGCTTCGCTCCTAGCATTCGGAAAGCAAAAGCAGTTCACTCCTAGCCTCAGAAAGCAGAAGCAGCCTGATCTATACACTGCATTCTGGGTCACCTAGGGCTATATAGCGAGACCCTGTCTTTAAAAGAAATTATTCCACAACATCACATATATGTCTGTAATCTGTCTTTATTTATTTAAGGGTATTGTAGGAATATTGTTACTGTGAGAAAAAAATACTAAATGCCCACCTTTGGAAATCTGTATGTGGTTGTCAAACAAAATATGATATATTCATGTAGTGGTCATGAGGCAATTATCAGAAGTAAACTTGAGGCTGGGAAGATTGTGTGGGTGGTAAGGTGCATGCCACATGAGGCTCTGCGTTCAGATCATCAGCGCCACATAAAAGCCAGGTGTGGTGATGTGTGCCAGCATACCAGCATTGAGAAAGCAGGACAGGCTTTCCACTGCTGACCACGCCCTGAGGAATTGAGAAACTCCAGACTCTGAGAGACCATGCTGGTCTGCAGAGCAAGTTCCAAAGCTGCCAAGCCTACGTAGGAACGGTCTCAAGAAAACAAACACCAAAACAGTCTGGAAGGTGTCAGCACTGCTCCCTGAGATGTCAGTGGTCTGCGTAAATGAACACGGGCTGCGTTTACTGAAACGGTACGCACCGGGGCTGGAGCAACAGCTCTGTAGTTAAGAGCCGCTCTGCTAGAGGACAGACCCACGTGGCGGCTTACAGCCATCTGTAACTCCAGGTTCAGGGTCTGGCATCCTGTTGCGGCCTCTGCAGCACACAGGCAGCGCACATGTGTGTACTCAGGCACATACTCATAAAGTGAGTCTAGGTCATGTGCACCAGTGTGCGCTGCGGTGTTTTGGGTCTTGTTGGAGAGGAGGTCCCACCGTGTGATCCCCTCTGGCTCCAGCTGGCCGTTTTCCTGCCTCAGCTTCCTGAGTGCTGAGATTACAGGCATCACCACTCACCTCACATTTATTTTATGTTTATGCTTTTAGATTATAAAAAATAAAATGTTCTATTTTGGAAAAGTGGGAAAGTGAATATATTTTTGCCTTTTGGCTATTAATGTCTTGGATGAAGAAGACAGTAACCCTGAATTCCAAAGCCAAGGTACGGACAGGCCTTGGATTATAATCTTGTTAAAAAAAACAGTGGAGAAGGACCACGTACAGTCATCAACAGGTGTAGCTGTTGTGTGAGCACAAGCAGAAAGTGTTTTCAGTTCTTGGGGCTTTGCTGTGTTGTAACCATGCCGCTGTATCCCACAGCATTTGATCTGCCCTTACAGCTCAAAGCCAGCCATGGAGAATCTGTCAGTGAACAGGGATGGCTGTGCAAGACTAGTTCACAGAAACAAGGTTTAGGCTGGATTTGTCCTTCAGGCACCTGTTGCTAACCCCTGGTTTAGAAGAAGGCAAACCAGAGTATGTCCTAAAGAGGTACGTGTGTGTGTGTCCGTCCATGTATACATAGACTGGGTGTCCCACAGCACACATGTGAGATTAGAATAACCTCTGGTGTCCATATTCACTTTCCTGGTTTGAGACGGTCGTTGAGCCGTGTGTGTGTGCTGTGTAGCTGCCCGTGAGCTTCTGGCCGCCCCCTGATCCCATCTCCACCTTCCATCATACTCTCTGAGCACTGGGTTCCAGATGTCTCCTCAGCCTGGATAGCAAGCAAAGCTACTTACCCACTGAGCCATTTCTCCAGCCCTAAAATACTTTTTAAAAATTAGCTGAAATGCAGTTGCGGACAGAAGGAGCAATTGTAGGATAATGGTAAAGATTTAAAGAACTGGACAGGGACACACATGCCTAAATGCTTGCAAAGAAGTGTCATTGATGTGCTGCTTGTTTCCAAAGATGCGAGAGGGTAAGTTGGATCAAATGAATGGATGATCGAGTAAAGCAAGTGTAGAGGTGTTAACTGAAGTGTGTGTACAGCAGGTATGTGCTATGTGATTTATAATTCAAACAGCGAGTAGACGCTAAAAGATTAAAAACTGAACATAGTCAGCTGTAGAGGGGCTGCTTGAGATGGCGGAATCTTGCTCTGTAGCCCGGCCTGGCCTGAAACTCACAGCCGCTGGCTGCATGCTAGGGTCGAGGGCCTGGGCCACCATGATAAGCAGAGTGAATTTGTTTGCTGGTCAGAGAAGGACTCACTTGAGGGGTGACTTAAAGTTTGGGGGAGGGGAAGCGTGACAGCCACTAAGCCTAGAATGAGAACATTCCAGCGAGACTGTACAGCTCAGGGTCCTGAGTTTGTGGAGCAGTAAAGAGGCCTGAGGTTAGGAAAAGGGGGCAGCAGGTGCAGTCAGAGAAGTGGCTGCAGGCCAGATGGGGAGGCCCTTCAGGTCCTGGAGTAAACTGTGGGTAGGGCGAGGATCAGGAATGGTGGGTTCTAAGCAGAGCGACAGCAGGATACACAGCAGCCCCTTTGTCCCTGTTGGTGTCCCACCATGTCAGTGCTCTCTTCCTCCTCCTGTTTGGGTTTTTGTCTGTTTCTTTTGTGTTTTGAAACACAATATCTACATACTGTGTCTGTCTGGGAACTCACTGTGCACACCAGGTTGGCCTAGAACTCAGGGATCCTCTTGCCTCTGTCTCCCAAGAGCTGGGGTTAGAGGCATACACTGCTTTGCCTGGTCCTCTCTTTTTTTAAGTGAATTTTGTTTTTATTCTATAGGATGCGCATAGCCATTTTTATATGAAAGGCTGCACCCTTACCCTGGGGCTTAGTGCACCTGTCATACTGTACAGTGAGGAACCTTGGGGGTGTGGCCAGGTTACAGGTCTTAAGATGGGGGATTATCTGGTCAGCCCTTAAAAGCAGAGGCCTTTCTCCAGCTGGAGTTAGGAGGCTCTATTGCAGGTGAGAGCCGTGGGGAACATATGAGAAGGAATTCGGGCAGCCTTTAGGAGCAAAGATGGGCTGGCGGGCAGTTAATGAGACACAGACCATAGGACTACAGGCACATCAACACCACGCGTTTAGAAGCATGCTCTTTCCTAGAGTCTCCACTGAAGAGTACAGACCTGCTGACTGGCCAGTCTGAGCCTGTGAGGCCCTGGGTACGCTTAAGCCCGGCCTGGACTTCAGCCTTCAGAAAGGAAAAGGGGGCACATTTGAAGCCATTGCGTTTATGGTCATTTGTAACAGTTGGGATGGAAACCCTATCTCGTTTACTTGCACTAAGAGATGGGGAGGATAGCGAGGAGAGTGGGGAGATAAAAATGGATTAAGAAAAGCCATTATTTCATATGCAAACCAGAGAAGTGATTTTAAATGATGGAGAAAGTGGTTTCTCTCTGATGGTCTCTGCAGTAACTACCAAGGACCCTGAGGACATCTAGGTTCTAGATGCTGAGGCAGATGAGGGAGGCCCTCTCTCTCACATAACTGCTGGAGAACTGAATCAGACAGTACTTGCTGTGTGGTTTGCTGCGGGGGGGCTACCCTGTTCATTTTCTCCTGTCCGAATCCCTGTAATTGGCACTTGCAAAATATGTGTTTCTTACTAAAGGCCTGGCTTCCTGTTGCCTTACAAAGCTTATGTTGTGCCTATCCCATTTGGTGGACAGTTGAGAACAGTCAGATATGAGTTCTCAACTCTGACTTCCAACTGTCCCAGTGAACTTAACAATGAAGTAACTGTTTGATCAGATGCTTCAGGCCATGTTTCTGTAGGCCTGCTGGTACTTCCAGTTAAGCTCCTGCTATTTTTAAAACAGTAAAATCCCAGTCCTTCCATTTTACTGAAGAAGACACAGGAGCCAGATGTAAGAATCAAAACCTACTCACAGGGCTGGAGAGATGGCTGTTCTTCCAAAGGTCGTGAGTTCAATTCTCAGCAACCATATGGTGGCTCATAACCATCTGTACTGGGATCTGGTGCTCTCTTCTGGCAAGGCAGAATGCTGTATAAATAAATCTTTTAGAGAGAGAGAACCTACTAGCTCAGAGAGGCAGAGAAAACACCCGGCTGATCTTCCTACTCGGCTCACGTTCCAAAAAGAAAAAGCCAAAGCCCCTTCTTCTCCACACTGTCTTAAATACCCTTCAACCCAATGTTCCTCCTTTCTGCTTAATCCCTGTAGGCTGGTTTTGTGCTCCGACTCTTGACAGAGGGTTAACTTTATTTAATCCTGTGTACAGAAAGCTCTTGAATTAAAGTTGTGTGCTAGGGCTGAGCTGCACCAAACAAGAAACAGGTTTTTACAGTTCACAGTCTCAGGGGTTCACAATTGGATCAAATATCCTGCAACAGAATGTCACCCAGAAGATTTCATTGCTCTCCCCAGGACCCCCACCCCACCCCAATGCCAGGACCAGGGAGGTCGCTCAGCAGTTAAGCACACACCGCTCCTGCAGTAAACTCCACTTGGTTCTCAGCACCCATGTCAGGCAGTTCACAACCACCCGCAACTACAGCTCCTGGCACCCTCTTCTGGCCTCAATAGGCAGTGCACTCACGCTCAAAAATGCATACGTATACTCATAATTAAAATAAAAATAAAATACATTTAAGCTCTGGGTTTGTTTTTTCTGTCTTTCTGTATCTGGACATTATATATGTGTGTGTGTGTGTGTCTGTGTGTGTGTATAGACATATATATATATATATAAATGTTTATATATGTATATATATGTCTATATATATATACACATACATATATAGATATATATATAACTTCAGTGAGTGTACTGGGATGGTTCCCACTTGTCTTGATTCAGGTATTTTTTTGTGGATTCCCCTTCTGCAGTCTGGCAGAGAATAGTGGAGGCCAACACACAAGACTGGCATTTGTACAGGGCTGAAGTCCTTGGGGGTTTTATGGTGTCCTGGACATCTCACAGTAGGAACTGGGCTCTGCACCCAGGAACAGAATTTTAATGTGAAACACCTTAAGAACAAATTACTGTATCAATTCAGCTTCTCCCTTTAATGACCACATAGAATGTAGAGTACATTTTTTAAAAATATTTGTTATTACAGTGTTGGAATGGAGGTCACATACCATGGCACATGTGGAGGTCAGAGGACAATGTAGTAGAGCTGGTTCTCTCCTCCTACTTTACATACAGTCCAAGGATCAGAGTCAGGTCTCCAGGTTTGTGTGGCAAGCACCATTACCTGACGACCATCTTGCCAGCCTGGTGTATAATAATGTAACCATTTCCTTATTAAAGATGTTGTTTCTGTTTTTAATTGTACTATAATTTATTGAAAAAATACAGTAGTAGAAGCTGGGTATGGTAGCACATACTTGTAGTCCCAACACATGAGAAGCTGAGGTGGCAGGATTAGGAATTCAGGGCCATCCAAAATTATATAGAAAGTTCCAGGTCAGCCTGGACTGTATGGTGAAACTCGTCTCAACAAAACAAAGTGAGTAATAGAGTTATAAAATAGTAAAGAAGGTCCTTTCAAAAGTAAACAGAAATAATGCAGGTTGTGTGAAAGACAAAGGATCAGTTAGAAGCACCATTGTCCACTGATGGACACTTGAGGACAAAGAAGACAGACACAGCAGTGTCCAGCCAGGGCTTGTCAGCACACATGAAGCATCATGCTTTCTAGAGTGAAAGTGCTTTCTAGATGCACTGCAAAGCCACTGGAGGGTCAGAAGACACATTCCAGAAACATCACAAGAAGGTCCTAAAGGCTTAGGGGATAGGCGGGGTAGTGTAAGGTGTCCGGGGAGAACACGAATGAGGCTGAAGATGGGTGACAGTAGGTGCTAGGGAACTAAAGGAATCCATCTTTGGTTTTTTCCTCTGTCCTGCTTGAGACAGAGCTGGGCCTTCACATGCCCAGCAATCCTCAGTCCTCCTATCTAAACTTCTTCACCTACTTCAATGCAAGGGTAGACCTTTCCAGTCGTGCAAGGGCTTGAGCTGGGCTGTCAGCTGCCATTCTTCTTGCAGTCCTTTAATCCTCATGGAGTATTGGGATTGGCCAGTAGTAGGCTGCGCTCACCATGGCTTGGCTTTTGCTGCTGTCCCTCAGGTGTCCTATGTTATTCGAGATGAAGTGGAGAAGTACAATCGGAATGGAGTCAACGCCCTGCAGCTGGACCCAGCACTCAACAGGCTCTTCACAGCTGGTCGAGACTCCATCATAAGAATTTGGAGTGTCAATCAGCACAAGGTGAGGCACCGAGCTTTGTCAGATAGAATTTCTTTATTCGGTTCCAGCTTTAATATCTGTGTAGTGGGCTTCTTAATACATTCTATAAAGACAGCACCGAGTTCTGTAGGCCTGTGAGGAAGGGCCTGCAGCAAAGTTTCACAAGTACTTTTACTTAACTCAGGGTGCCATAAGTTAGTTTGCTGTAAGAGTTCCCCTGCCACAGAGGGGAAAAAATATCTGGATGGAGGGGAATGAGCACTTCCCACAGGATTTTGGCTTAATTATAAACCTGAAATGTCTCCTGATAACCATGCTAAAAATAGAATAACAGAATGTCTCGTGTATTACTTTTACAAATGTTTGTGAATTTCTTTTACGGAAGTGATTAAAGTCCCCACAACATGCAAAGGTGTGGCAGGCGTGAAACCGAAGGCTGCTCCCTCCTTCTACTCCCCAGGGCTTCCAGAGGCTTTGTTGTTTCTTCTGCAGTGCTGAGCATCAAGTCCTAGGCCTTCTGCATGCTGGACAAGCATCTTTCCCCCCTGAGCTACCCTACAGCTTGAAAGGCTCTTTCGTAAGCAGGGAGGTCCACACAAACGCATGGGAGGGCGATCTGCAGTCAAATGGCAGGAAGCTCTTAGGTTTGCTTGAATGCTGCACTGTGGATGGTGTAGAAACAGTTGGGGCCATTTACTGAGCTCTTAACTATGTGCCTTGGGCCTCGTGCTCACCAAGGTCTGGGGTTCCACAATTCCTTTCAAGATGGCTGTTAGCACATGAGAACTCTGATGGCCAAGTGCCTAGTGTGGCTGTAAATTGGGGCTCAGCCTGGCTTCAGACCCCAGTGCCAGCACCCATATATTTGAGTCTGTGTCTTATTAGCCAGCTCAACAAACTGGTGTTCACTGAAGAAAGAGCAATGGCACAGCTTGCCAGATGAGGTTTCTCCTGTGGGCTCAGCCCAGCAGGTGCTGAGTTCTTGAGCAGGTAAAGGCAGTGTCAGAGCGTGAACGTGAGAAAAGTGTGTCTGCATTTGCCTTTTAGATACCATAGGAACTCACATTTGATTTAGAATATTAACTTTTGGGGAGTTTGCAGTATTTTGAACAAATAAAGACAAAGTGCAAAAGAGCTTGTCTACAATCTAGCTGTCTGGCTGTCCTGCCCTCAGGTATCTTTTCCTGGTCTTCAGAACGAGATTGTGTGGCTGCAGTTCTTAGACATGCAAAGAGCTCGTCTGTGACGTGTATAAACTGCCTGTTTGAGTGTAGGACACAACCTGACACTGTACAGGGCTCTGGGTATTGAGCCAGTGGCTAGGAGTCGCTGACAGTTGGGGTGCCCCTGCAGGTGGCGTGTCTCAGCCCTTGACTTCTTCTGAAGGAGAGGCAGTGAAGAGACTCCCTGAAGGGTTACAAACAAGGGCAGGAAGCTAAAAGCACATGTTCGTCGCCTGTTGCTCTTGGGCTCCTGAAGCACAGGCACCGCAAGTCAGATCTCCCCAGCTCAGGTTTCCTGGGTCCTGTCTGTCCTCTGTGCCCCATACCATGTGTAGTCCAGGGCTTGGCACCTTTACCCCCGGAAGGTGTCAGACTTAGCCTTGGAAACTAAGCTTTCACTATGGTAACTGTCCTAAAACAGACTTTTTTTGCATCAGTTCTCTAGAAGCATGGCCTGTTTGGGAAAGTGCCCCTGTCGATTTAAGTGTGATAGTGTGTCCTATTAAGTGAAGAAAGGGAGCATGGCTGTACTTCGGGGTGGATGTTGCTGTATTGTAAACTCCATGGTTTTCCATTTCAGCAAGATCCATACATAGCATCTATGGAGCACCACACAGACTGGGTGAACGATGTCGTGCTCTGTTGCAATGGGAAAACACGTAAGTTCTTCTCAGGTTCTGACATTCTTCAGTTCTGCTTGGTATATGTTTCATTTTTTTATGTAAGTCCTGTGTGTGCACGTTTGGGTGCATATGGAGATAATGTCATCTTCTGTCCTGGGGCACCATGGTGTGTGGACAGTCTCCGGCTGACCTAGAGTCCACCGATTTGACAGATTGGCTAACTCCTGCGCTCTTACCGCCTCACCCCACCCCACCCCACCCTCAGCTGTCCAGCGCTGGAGCTAGAGTAGGGCTACAGGTTTGTGCTTCCACGTCAAGGTTTTTCTGTGGGGCCCTAACTCGGTGAGCCGTGCCCCAGCCCCTGTGGGACTTTTCTCTTTTTTTTTGGTATTTTGAGGCAGGGTTTCTCTGTGTAGTCCTGGCTGGCCTGGACTCACTTTGTGAGAGAGATCCTCCTGCCTGTGTCTCCCTGTCTGCTGGGATTAAAGGCATGCACCACCACTCCCAGCTGTGAGACTTTTACTAAAGCACAACATACATGCAGAAAAGTGCGCAGACATTGCAACCATAGTAAAATATAAGAGAGAGCATTACCAGGTGCCCCCTTGTGCTATCCTGCCTGCCTTTCAGTCAGTTGACATGATCACTAAAGTTAGTTTTACACAGATTTGAATTGTAGATAAATAGCTCCCTCTACTGTGTGTGTGTAGTTAGTCTTTGTATGGCTGTTTTCTTACTTTGGTACGCTCCATTTCTTGGTTTTGCAGTCTGAGTAATTCCCAGTTAAATTAAGGACTTTTCACTGGGGAGAGTAGAACAATTTGCCCTATCTAATTAAAACCAAAAGTGTTGTGTACATTCCCATATTTCTTTGGGGCATTGTTGAGAAAGTTCTGGGAAGAGCTTGTAAGCCACATGTGTGAACAGTAGTTTGAAGCAGCATTGCTTTGCTGTAAGATAGCCTTATGGTTCCAAGTCATTCTTGTAAGGGTCCAGTTGACTCCTTGTCTCTCCTAGTGATATCTGCTTCCTCCGACACAACGGTGAAAGTCTGGAATGCACATAAAGGCTTCTGCATGTCCACACTCAGGACACATAAGGTAATGTCCACGGTCCAGTCTTCCTGTCGTATTGGGAACTCAGTTCTTTGTATGCTCATGTTCTTACAGCGTAGATCATAGTGTGTCTGTTCTGTTATAGGATTATGTAAAGGCCTTAGCATATGCGAAGGATAAAGAGCTGGTAGCATCGGCTGGGTTGGACAGACAAATATTCCTTTGGGATGTGAATACTCTAACAGCATTGACTGCCTCAAATAACACTGTCACAAGTAAGGTGTTTGAAAACAATTTTTTGAAAGCAATCTAAATTGACATAAAGAATGGTTTATACAACATTTTTGATATGTTTGGTTGAGAAAGCGGTTCATATTTTGAGAGTACATACAGCTTCTAGCCCCAGGAGTATGACTGAACTTGGAGCTAGCTCATCCCTGCTGTAGACCTAGCAGCTTCTCCAGATAGAACCTTGCTTTCCCATGTGCATGTCTTAGCTTCGTGGCTAAAGTGGAGTCCCTACAGTAGAAGAGTCTGTATCTCCCACAGTGTACTCCGTGTGTCCTTGTGTCTCCCACAGCGTACCACAGTGTGTCCTTGTGTCTCCCATAGCGTACATAGTGTGTCCCTGCACCCCAGACAGCCCATGTTCTAGAAGATGACATCTGGCAATGCAGGCTCCATGTTGTTAGGAGCGTTTGCATTAATGGCCAAGATGAGAAATACCCAGGGAGGAAGACAATGTTTCCAGTACCACTTGAGAAGGGCTGTTCAGAGTAACCTGAAAGAATCCAGTGATCTGGAGAAGCCTAGGGAGGCCAGGGTGGTTCTAGAGGAAGCGTAGCTGCTTGATAAACTTGTAGGCACTGCACTAGCCTAGCCTATGGGAGCCTCCAGGCTGAAAGTCTAGGATTCTTGTAGGAGCAGAGTCTGGCCTAGTCTAGACCAGAGAAGGACTTCAGGACATGGGCTTGGACAGCGAGATCTCTATGCTATGTGACTCCAGTCTGTTAAGACTCCAGGTGCTCCCACAGCGTGGCTGGTGTAGTCTGTTGCAGGGGGCAGGTGGAGAGACTGGTGTTTACAACTTCTCCAGTGTTGCTTTGCCCAGAAGTATGTCTAGTCTAAACCCCTTGTTCCCTTGGGGTTTTTTGGTTGGTAGTTCTATTTCGTTTTTCAGGGATCCAGCAGGTAGGCCCTGAGGTCTGCCCCTGAGATACAGAGGGTCAGAGACTTGGGGCTCTGAGATTCAGAGGGTCAGGGCCTTGGCTCAGTGGACACAGCTTCTGCCAAAGTGGACTTGCTGAGAGTGGTGAGGGGCCTGTCACCAGGTTGATGAGTGCAGAAGCCATGCTGCCGATAGTCACCGCTGTTGAGTGTGTAGAAGCATTTCTAACCGCTTACGTGTGCTAACTCCCACTCACAGGCCACTAGGGGGGTTGTTTGTGAAGCAGTCCCCTGGGAAGGAAAGAGTTCCACATTGGCTTCCAAATCAAAGGGCGTGGACATGATTCTGGCCAAAAGTGTTGCCTTGGATTTCTGTTTGGGGTTTGGGTTAAGATACGGTGTTTTCATTTTGTCTTTCTTTGAATAATAGTGACTTGAACTATTCAGGCCATCTTTGGAAATACAGTGCTTTTGTGGGTCAGTTTTAAATGGTAGCGCAGTTCAGTTTAACAGATACTTATTGAGCACTTGCACATACTCAAATCCAGAAAAAAACACAAATTTTGATGATACTGTTATTTGGAATTCTCTCTAAACTATTAGTAAAGATTAGATTTTCTAAGTCAAATGTGTAAGCTTATGATTTTTGCTGACAAGTTGCTGAACACCTGATAATTTTGTTAACATTGAACTCTGTTTATCTTCAACAGCTTCTTCTTTAAGTGGGAACAAAGATTCCATTTATAGCCTGGCCATGAACCAACTGGGAACAATCATTGTATCAGGGTCCACTGAAAAGGTAAGGGAGGCCTAGCCAGTGTCTCTGAAACTAAGAAAATGGAGTCATTGCGTCTGTCCAGTTCTTAAGTACATGCACAGAGCTCGGGGAGGCAGCATGCTGTAGTCCCCACATTCGGGAGGCTGAGGCAGGGGTATCACTTAAGCCCAGGAGTTGAAAACCAGCCTAGACAACATAGCCAAATTCCTGTCTCAAAAGAAACCAAAAAATAAGATTAATAAACAACAGTAATTTTGTCTAGTGGATGATAAGAGAAATGCAAGTTGTGTGTGTAAGGATAGCTGTGTAACTGTTGTGCACTTAGTGAGGGGGCTGTGATCTGGGGCATTAGAAATGTATCCTTAAGTTTAGCAGCCATGGACAATACACACTGGCTGCAGCCATGTTTCCATTCCAGAATTTAATAGGTGGTATTTAAAAGTCGGGTGCTTTCAAAGGCTGGTTGTGTCCATAGCTGGTTTATATAATACTCTGTAAAAACTGGCAGGTTCTAAGAGTGTGGGATCCAAGAACCTGCGCGAAGCTTATGAAGCTGAAAGGGCACACGGACAACGTGAAGGCGCTGCTGCTGAACAGGGACGGCACACAGGTAGGAGCTGTCTACAGACACGGGTGGCTTGGCAGAAGTCTCCCACTTTATGCATGGCTGGAGGGTCAATCTGCACCATAGCTACGTGTGTGCTTTACATCCTCATTCAGTCTTTAGGACACTAGGTTTAGGCTGAGCAGTTAAGAGCACTTGTTCTTACAGAGGACTGGGGTGCCATTCCCAACACACAGATCCCGAAGTTGACAGCCTCCGTAACTCCAATTCCAGGGGCATCCATTTCCCTCTTCCGGCCTCCCGGCACTGCACGCACATGGCGTATATCCACACAGAAATACATACACCTAAAAAGAAAATAAGTATTTGAAAAATAAAAAATAAAAATAAAACAGTTGCCATTTCCAATATAAGTAGCTCACACCTATAATCCAGTTACTTAGGAGACTGAGGCAGGAAGATTACAATAAATTTGAGACCCGCCTGGCCCGGGGTGGTTTCACACGCCTTTAATCCAGCACTCAGGGAGGCAGAGGCAGGCGGATCACTGTAAATTCAAGGGCAGCCTGGTCTATAGATCAAGTTCCAGGATAGCCAGGGCTATACAGAGAAACCTTGTTTCAAAAAAAAACAAAAACAAGACCAGCCTGTGATAGATAGAGAATACAAGATTCGAGGGTCTATGGCTGGGATACAAACCTGTGATTAATTTAACCTGTGATTAATTTAATATTAACCTGTGATTAATATTAAAAATAAAAATTATTTAAAAAAATAAAGAAAAAGAAAAAGAAAGATTCGAGGGTGAGAACCTATCTCAAAAACTAAAAAAATGCTAACTTGCACTCGCAGTGCTCCACATTTTAAAGGGCTTTGTTGCTTTTAATGAAGGCAGGACAAGAAAGGCTCCGGTGCTGTCCCGGTGCGGGGGTGTGTACAGTTTCGCCAGCAGAGCTGGCTGGAGCAAAAGGAAGCTGTGCTCTCTTACGCCTTTGGCATCGTGTTAGTTAGAGATTCTCATGATCGTATGACTTGGGCATTGTCTTAGTTAGGGCTTCCATTGCTGTGAAGAGGCACCACAACCATGGCAACTCTTATAAAGGAAAGCATTTAATTGAGGGTGACTTCAAGTTTCAGAGGTTTAGTCCATTACCATGATGAGAAGGATGGCAGTGTGCAGGCAGACAGTGCTGGAGAAAGAATTGAGACGTCTACATCTGGACTCCTAGACAGCAAAGGAGACTATGTGCCATACTGGGTGTAGCTTGAGCATAGAAAACCTCAAAGCCCACCGCCACGGTGACATGCTTCTTTTAACAAGGCTACACTTCCTAAGAGTGCCACTCTAGGGCACCATACCTGTTCAGACCTCCACAGGCAGTTCTGTTGTTGCTGTGTTATCTGTAGGCTGAAGTCTCTAGCAGTGTGCTTCAAAGGCCTAATGCTCTTTCTGTTCCTGCAGTCTGTAGGTTGTAGTGTACTTCTAAGCCAGGTGATGTGACTGTCAAATGGAGATCCTTAAGGTCAGCTGCATTTGCTATGGGTAGGGCTCAGTTCTGAAAGCTACCTGTTGGGTCTTAAAATGCATAGTTGTCTATCACCCACAGGGTTTTCTGATACTTCAAGTTCCAAACCTAAGTTAGGCCTGGGATCACAGCATCAGGCAACTTCTCCAACAGTAGTCTGGTCCCTACACACAGGCACCCCATACGACCATCATTGAGAGAACAGTAATGCCTGATCTTTCTGTCTAAGTCTGGTCTAGCAGAACAGTGTGGCGCGTTGGGTTTGTCTCTGAAATAATCTCTTTTTGGACAACTCACATTTTAACCAGTGGAAGAAGAGGTGAGGATAGAGGGTGAGAAATGTTTTGTTGGTCCTGCTAGCTCTTAGAGGATGGCGGGTACTAAAGGGGACCCATGGGTAGGAAGGGATGCTTACAGTACAGGACACTGTTGAACACTGCCTCATGCTGCACCCCATGGCAGGGACTCTCTGAAAGCATTGTCCTCACTGTGGCCTCCTCATAGCCATAGACTGCTGGATTCTATCAAGATTGTTCTGTATTCTGTTTTCATTTATACATCTGTGCTTTCTCCTCTGCTTCCATCTGTGCAATCTGCATCTGGTCCTTAACTGTTGCAGTCTTCAGCTGTGTGGACTTCCAGACCACCATCTTTGCCAGACCTTGTTCTATGTCCTAGGAGCTGAAGGATTGGAGCTTTCCTGAGAGTACTGCCAACTCAGAGTAGCCTCTCTGCATAAGGAACCTTCCTTGGGCCTGCCCCATGTCCCAGCACTCCCACACCCGAATTGGATCAGTCATTCCCTTCTGAACTATCAGGGAGGTGGTTAAATTCCTGATGCTGCCGGCAGTTTGTGAGGAAGTTGTCTAATCTGTATTCATTTAATTAAACCTGTCTACAATTCACAGGCTCCTTAAAATTGAGAGGCAGAGCAGTAAATCATTAACAGAACCATGCAGGTTCATGCCCACAGCTACTTCTCTTTAAAGCTATTGCTAAGTTTCATACTCCAGCAGCAACAATTGCTCTCCTTGGGATCATTCTTTTTTCCCAAGGAGATGAAGTTTTTATTCTTCCTGCAAGTTGTCCCAGCAACTGATCAGGAATTACTGAGCATGCCTGGTAGGGACTCATTCATCCTATTTCTATTTGACTCAGTGTACTCAGCCCTAATTGGTGTGCCACCAACTTCCTTGCATTGTTTCTCCTGAACCTTGAGAAATGGTCAGAACTGCTAGAAGTGTTCCAGATCACAGGGAGTCAGTGGATACCTGGCATAGACCTTGTTTCTGATTCCTGTCAGAACCAAGGCCTGAGCCATGAGGAAGAGGTAAGACCCTGGCCTGGAGCAGTGCCGCCAGATTTAGAACATGGCAGTCGCCCCAGAAGCCTGCTGGGTATCTGTTGGCGACCCTGCTGTAGTCCTGCCTCCTTGGGTCTGGATGGGACCCAAGAGTCTACATTCTTACTAAATTCCCAGGGAAGATGACTGTGCTGCGATGACCACCAGCAGCTGCCTTAGTTATTGAACGTCCAGACACGAGTCACCATAGGCTTTTACAGAAGCAGCAGGCAGCTGGGGAGAGAGGACAAAGGCAAGTTTGCCCGGTGTCCCCGCTGGAACAGGCACGTTGTGTTTGGTCATTTCAGATGGCCTGCTCCTGGGAGCACCCTCAAACCTGTTTCCGTTGTTCGCAGTGCCTCTCTGGGAGTTCTGACGGAACCATTCGCCTGTGGTCCCTTGGTCAGCAGCGGTGTATAGCAACATACCGAGTCCACGATGAAGGTGTCTGGGCCCTCCAAGTCAACGATGCCTTCACACATGTGTATTCTGGAGGGAGGGACAGGAAGATTTACTGCACAGACCTGAGAAACCCTGACATTCGGGTGCTGATTTGTGAAGAAAAAGCACCAGTTCTCAAGGTGTGTTGAGTCCCTGGGCTTCCCAGCTGTGCACCTTAGGCATGAGCAGCGGAAGCTGCACTGAACAAGCCCCAGTGCGGTCAAGGGAAAGCTCCACAGGGTAGCAAGAGTCTGGGCCCAGGTTCTGATACCTGAGGCGCTACTGGGGCACGGATGGCCTTCCTGTGGCTAAATCCTAGTGATACTGTGTCAGCGTGCTGGAGGGTGTGCCTGCTCGCCTGCCCTGTCCTTAGGAGGAAGAACGTGAGCTATTAAGGGTGTCTGAGCAAAGAGGTCTCGGTGTTCAGGCCTCAGCGTCAGCAGTGAGAAGCAGAGTATCTGCTGAAGGGGAAGAGCCGGTTGCTTCCAACTACGAACAGCTGCCTCCAAGCAGCTCCGCAGGGAGAGCAGGAGCCACAGGGTAGGTGGGAAGCAGAGGAAGCTAGCACAGAAGAGACTGCTCCGGGAGCTTGGCAGCTGCTGGGGCTCTTGGCTGTGGGCAGCAGACTGAAGAAGGTGGTACAGGTGCCCATACACTGAAGAGAATCCCCGAGAGTCGCTGGTCGCTAAGAGTCGAGAAATGCCTCCAACTACTCCAGTTCAAGTCTCCTGATGTTGGAAGAAAAGTGGTTCCATTTGAGTATAAATTCACATCTTACATGGATAGCATATGAAAGAACCAGGGGCTTGTTGTGAGGTGATGCTCATGAGCCTGTCCCTGGGTGAGGGCTAACTTCACATTCGTTTTGGTATTAGGATTTTCCTTTCTATAAGCATTTTCAAAAAAAGGAAGAATGTAAGCCAAGCATGGTGGCCCCCAGAGACTAGCTTTGGGGGCACAGCAAGAACCTGTCCCAGAAAAGTGCACATGCACACACAGTATAAGAAGTGGGATAGCAGAAGCACAGCGTTGCTTTTGCTTCAGAAAGTCCTTATTCTTTTGACTGTGTCCACTTAAGTCCCAACAATAAACTTTGCTGGAAACCTTGAGCCTGGACAGCCGAGTGTGGCAGTGTACCCCTTTAATCCCAGCACTCAGGAGGCAGAGGCAGGAGGATCTCTGGGAGTTCCAGGCCAGCCTGGTCTACAGAGAGTGTGCTGGGACAACCAAGGTCTACAAAGAGAAACCTTGAGCCTAGCCACAGTGGTGCCTGTCTATAATCCGGCTGATGCAGGAGAATCATGAATTCGAAGCCAGCTTGGCTGACTTAGTGAGACCGTAAAAATATAACTGCATAGCTGTACGCATGCACAGGTGAGCAAGGACACTTCCCTGCCATGCATCCTCTCCCCATTTGCAAGACTGGCTCCTTCGCTGGAGACCCCTTTCCCTGTCCATCTGTAGCTCATTGCTACAAGCCTGGTGCCAGGCAGCGTACAGTTGACAAAGGATTTATACTCCCTGAGGTATCGCTGGGCTAATAGCTAACAGCTCAGTATCATCAGCCTGACAAAGAAGACTGTTGTGTTTGGTTTTCAGATGGAACTCGACAGATCAGCAGATCCTCCTCCTGCGATCTGGGTTGCCACAACAAAGTCCACTGTAAATAAGTGGGTAAGTGTGTGGCCGTGCTTGTGTAAGTGTGTAGCTTGCTGTCCCAGATTTGCCAGTTTCCAGAGCAGAGGCACGGTGTGGCCTGATGCCCACGTCCCTGTGAACACAGGCGTGATCCTGCAGGTGAGAATATGTGACATTCACGGGTGAATGTCCCCTGTGAATGTCTCTGTTCCCAGCTAGACCGTGTGCTTGATGGGCTTCAAACAGAGTGCTGCCTACTTAGGCCAGCCAGTGTCACACAGCCTCTGGCCTTGTAAAGCTGCACCCGAGAGTAGGCAGTCCGGCCCTGTGTGGTGGGCACAGCCGTAATCCAGCTCTTGGGAGACAGATAGGTGGGAGTGCCACATGGTCAAGGCCAGCCTGGGCTGCGTAGCAAGACAGCGCTTCAGTTGAGCACACAAAAAGAACAAAGTAGACAGTCCATATACCCATTTCTAAAGGTAAAGGAGCAGGAAGTTGGCTTCGGGTTTCCTTTCTCCCTGGCCTGGAAAGCAGGGATGGTGGTAGATCAGGAAGTCAGGGCCTCATAGCACCAGCTCCTTCCGGAGCTAAGCTGTCTTGCCTAGCTGACTCCGAAAGCGTAGGGGAAGGTTGGTGTGCAGGTCAGCTACAGAGCTTGTACGCATGCCTCTGTGCCCGACAGTGATGATCTTAGCTAGAACAGTGCCCTGCTTTGCGGCAGTCTTAGTTACCGTGCTATTGTTGTGATAAAGGTGAAGACAGATTACAACAGAAAGCATTTAATTGGGGACTTGCTTACAGTTTCAGGAGGTTAGTCTGACGATCGTGGTTGGGAGCATGGTGACAGGCGGACGTGGCAATGTGGCAGTAGCTGAGGCCTCACCTCTGGTCCAACAGTTGCAGGCAGAGAGGGAGAGTGGGCCTGCCATGGGCTTTTGAAACCTCAAGCCACCTTCAGTGACACTTCTACTCCAACAAGGCCAAACCTCCTAATCTTCCACTGACTGGGAACCAAGCATTCGAATACATGAGCCTATTGGGACCTCATTCAAACTACCACAGGGGCCTTGTGGGGTTTTTGTTTGTGTTTGGAGGGATTGTTTGTTTAGGGGGGTTGTTGGGTTTTCCCCTCTTTTTCTTTTTCAGAAAGGTCAACAGTCTGTTCTTCATATTTGTTAGGGATTTTTTACTGACCCTGTGACTGGGTGTGTTCTTAACGTAGCTGTGATGCCTCAGCATGAGCTTGTTCTGTAACTGTATTGTTTGTTCTCAACACTTGATGGAGATTGGCAAGCCTGGAGAACATAAAATGATGAAATTGTTAATTTTGTTCCTTTAGACACTGAAGGGAATCCATCATTTTCGAGCGTCTGGTGATTATGACAGTGACTGTACAAATCCCATCGCGCCCCTCTGCACACAGCCTGACCAGGTTATCAAAGGTGAGGGCCACAGCGTGCACACTTTCAAGGGAGTGACGAGGGAGAAGTGGTGGCCTTTCTGTAAATGCAATGCTTCTGCTCACAGACAGCTTGGAAC